ATGACGTCACATGGTATGGCATGTCCCTTTGGCCAGTTTGGCTGTGCCCCCTCCCAGCTTCTTGTGCACCTCCAGCCTTCTCAGTTGGTAGAGCATGGGAAGCTGAAAAGTCCTTGGCTAGTGTAAGCATTACCTAGCAACAACTAAAACATCAGTGTGTTATCAACTTTGTTCTCATCCTAAATCCAAAACACTGTACCAGCTACTAGAAAGGAAATTAACTCTATCCCTGCCGAAACCAGGATAGTATGTAAAGCCATGTGCTGTAAACAGTGCGTTGAATATTTGATGGTCTGTGTTTCTACAGAGTTGCTGAGGGGATTGTTGGTTGAGGTGGAGCATATCGTAAAATACTGTTCTCTGAGGAGAACAGTTTTCTTGCAGAATGAATTGGCATGAAACTGGTTTGAGATAAAATGGTAGCATTTTTTATGAGACCGTAGTGAGGCAAACACTTATCATCCATATGCACAGGTATCAACCAAAAGTACGTAAGTTTTCAGCATGCAGCTATTTCTAGCAAAAATTATCACTCTTCCTGTTTCTTGAGTAGTGCATTTCAAAAGTTTATCATACAATTAATAAATATTGTGTTATGAAAGATGAAGCAAGCTCAAGTACACATGAACTGTGGCCTCCTAATAGTTTACTAGTTTACTAGTTCACACATCTCAAATTCTTCAGTTAGGATACCCATGAGACATTGTAAATTGTACAGAATCCTGCTATTTATGTGCTTTCCAATTTCTTTACAAGTTCACAGTCACTTATGATGTAATGTTATGTCTTTACTAGCTGAGTTCAAGAGGGCAGTGAAGGTGGCAACAGGACAGGAGCTCTCAGATAATGTTTTGGATACCATCTTCAAGATTTTTGATCTAGATGGAGATGACTGCCTGAGCCACGGCGAGTTTCTTGGAGTCCTGAGGAACCGTATTCATCGAGGTTTGAGGGTAACAAGCTGACATCGTTGTTTTTAAATACCACAGATGATTGCTACAACTGTCTTGTTAACACCTGTAGAAACACAAGTAGAGATAGTGAATAGAAACAAGTTATATTTTAAACTGAAGATTCCTTACTGCTTATGAATCTTGGAGGAGTGTTGCCACCAAGAACTTGTTATTACGCATGTGAACTATGGGAGCAGCAGCATTGCATTACATATTATATTTACTTAGTCTGTGAATAAGAGTCTTTTTTGTGTAAATACTAAACGTACTTTAACTTTATTAACAGGTACCGCAACAGCAAGGCATTCAAGGTTACTGGAAGTGTGTGAAAAGAGAAAGCATTAAAGGAGCCAAAGAAGTGTGGAAGCAAACTGGGAAAAGTCCTTTTTAAAGCAGTCCATTGTTCTTTTGCTATAAATGTTGTTATTTAGGGGGGGTTGTCTGTCCTGTTTACATAATAGCTGAATCAAAAATACTCTCTTTTTTTACTATAGTTAAACTTTAATTAACCCAGTTTCTAATGGAATAATTTTATATTGTTCTAGTGCAATCAGTTTGGTTTACAGAACCGTTACCACTTTTGACCTCCATACGGAAGTACTCTTGTTCTAGGGAATAGTGTTGTTTACTCCTCTGTGGAGTCTGACCCTGCGCTGTAGCACACAGGCTACGCAAGATTTAATAGTGGCCACTGGCAGGAACGTCACAGCAGTATCATCTCCTGTTGGAAGAGTGGACATCATCTCAGTTAGCCACTAACACAGCAGTTCTCTTTCCCTGGCAAGGATAGAGGTCCAAAAGGCGAAACCACTTGCACAATCCATGCAAATCAAGTTATCCTAAATCAAAAAGGAAAATTCACGTGGTTCGTGCCCTCATTACTGTGAACTGCTCACGTGCTAGTTCCTGGTGGATGATTCCACCAGATCCTGTGTGGATGTCTGGATTGTCTACCTTCATGATGATAATATTAAACTGGAAATACAAGACTGTTGATACAGGCTTTAAAAGTTGTACATTAATCTATGAATGTGCATTGGGTCCCTCAGACCTCTTCAACAAATGGTATAAATGAGAAGCAAAAATCCTTATTCTAGCATAAACAGCAGTAGCTACAATTTGAGTCATAACTATGTTGCCTTAATTGTATTGCAGGTGAATGTGTAACAAATAGTTGCTTTATCTTAGTAAAGGTTGTGACAGGGAATGCTGCAGTGTCGCAGGAATTCAAGGTTATAATAAGCAAGTGTTGGGGGCAAAATAAGTCCAATGAAATGTAAAAAAAAATGTTTATTATTCCAAAATGCAAAGTTAGGCATAAGATCTTAAACAGTAAAACAAGGAACACATCAAAATTAACATTTAGCAATTATAGATGAACGTTTTTTAGCTACAACATAGTGTGCATCTGTGTATACACAGGTGTGCATGTTACATGTTTTTCTTTCTTACAGCCTTAAGAGCCGATAGTCCCAGGTCCAGATCAGTCTTCCTGGTTGTCCGCTATATATAGGAGATAGACTTATCTGTAAAGCTCTCAAGGTTCTTCCTCTTTGCCCCTCCCAGTTGTCTGACTTGACTTGGCTGGGGTGAAAGCTTAACCTTTCAAGGCAGGTTTGTGGTAACAGACTCAAAAGATGGACTGGGGAGATGTCTCAAGAAAAACAACCAAGAAATCTCACCACTCTGTGAGGAAGTATCCATCCCTTTTAAGTATGACACTAGCTATGTTATTCTCAAAGTTGTACATAAGCTCAACAGGAGGTGTTTTTTTGTAATTTCTTTGGCGTTTGATGGGGGGAGCCTTGAGACGAGGGGAACCTTCCATGATAGATACCAGAGCAGCCCTCACTCAGATGAGGCAAAGGAGACACTGCATTACGAAACCATAAAGATGCCACGTAAGGAGTAGTGAGATTACAGAGAATGTATTTGGTATGTCAGTAGCGGTCAGGCAAGCTTGTGCTGAGGAGGAGTCCTCCCGCCTGAGCCTCAGCACGGTGGTCTCATGTAGGGAAATAGAGTGAGAAGCTGGCAAAGCAGCAGTGTGCCGCTCTTCCCTCCACGGCCTTCACTTGGAGCTTTAATTTAAATTGTGTTAAAGAGAAAATGCTTGTATTCTTGTCATCTGTGGACATGCACCCAGAGTCACCCACCAAAACAAGAGCATGCGTATGTGGGTGTCCTGAGACCTGTCTAGAAGATCAGGCACCAGTGACCACCAAGGGTCCCTTTACTTCCCCAGGAAACCATCGGAATGAAATAAAATGCAGTAAACGCCTCAGCCTCCCCCCCTCAAACTGAACTCATGCACTGCTCTGCAGGCAACAGGAAATTGGCTAGCTGGTTTACTTTGTGTGTTTGGAAGTTGCTTGCTGCTTCTGGTGATGGGAGCTACTTTTTATTGCTTTTGTGGTTTCTTTCGTTTACCAATGACTTGCTTCCTACAAGCTGTTTGATTTTCTTTTGGAAAAATCAATTCATTTAGCTTTAGCGTATCTAGAAGTTTAATTCCTCATTGCTCATTTATATCTGGGTTTGTGCAATCAGCAGTATCTGCTTTCAGCAGCAAGTTACTAAAAATGGGATTTCAAGTTTTATTTTTTAGCAAAGGCTTTGGTGTCAAGTTCAGAGGAAAAAGAGAACAGATATGCTTATTTTTAAATGAACTTTGTCTCTGTAGTAAAAAAAGAAACGAAATTATTGATTAGGAGTTAAAATACAGTTAGGAAACGTTTTCAGAAGTTACACTGAAAGTACAGCCATGAAGGAACTCCTTTGAAGGCCAGGGAAGGCTTGTCCATGAGGCTTGAAGAATCAGACTCTGTTTAATTTTATAGTCTGTTTTTGTCTTAACTAAAAGCCTTTACAAAACGGTCTTAAAATAATTTCTCATGTTCTCTTCTCATGTTCTAATTTCTCATATCTTAGGTTGAAAGAGCTGTTTACATAAGTGTTTAGATTGACCTTGTCTTTTAATGAATCCATCGTAGTTTTAGCATTAGATGTTTTAGTTTCTTTTAGTAGCTGTATGGTATTTGCAACCTGTCTGTCAGCATTACTCAACACAATTTGGTTACAAGTTTATGCCAACTGCCAATCTATCAGTTAAACTTATCAATTATGACTTTTTTAATGTTAGGAACTCTTCCTCTGAACAGAAATATATGGAAGAACTAAATAAAATTATTTTTTTTTAAATTCTCCAACATTGCATCTGAATGTTATGTGGAATAAAGTTGAATACATTGCACATTGCAGAAATCTGAAAAATTGATTTAACATATTTCAAAAGGATACACAAGGGTGAGTACAAGTCATTTACAGCATATAACTCACTCACAGAATTTTAGTTGTATCCCCATAACAACTTTTTACATTTCTTTCAGTTTGTTTAGTTTAAGATAATTGTTTAAGAACATTTACTCTTAATTTCTAAAAAGCAAAGGCAAAAATGCAGTGTGATATAAAAATTGATTTAACATATTTCAAAAGGATACACAAGGGTGAGTACAAGTCATTTACAGCATATAACTCACTCACAGAATTTTAGTTGTATCCCCATAACAACTTTTTACATTTCTTTCAGTTTGTTTAGTTTAAGATAATTGTTTAAGAACATTTACTCTTAATTTCTAAAAAGCAAAGGCAAAAATGCAGTGTGATATACTACAACTAAGAGAAACTCGTTGGTTGGTTCTAGAAATTAATTTTGGTATCTCAGTTTATGCAAGCCTCTTTCTAAAAGCAAAACTCCCTCTGGAGTCAAACCAAGTTGGTGGGTTTTAACAAAATATGCCACAATGAGGAGTATATATTCTGCATATAAGAACTGAAAAAGAAAAGTTTTATCACGATGTTATATGGCTGTCTCAAAAGCAAATCTCTGATTTACTCCATCTCTTCCAGTGTATTGTCTCCTTTCAGGGTTCAGACAGGTTGCCACTGATCGTGCCTGGAAACAGGCCAGCGCCTGATCTGAACTCAGGTATCATCATAGAATCATAGAATCATTAAGGTTGGAAAAGACCTCTAAGATCATCGAGTCCAAC